GTTTGTTTGTTTGTTTTACTGTTTGTTTTTTAATTTTGTCAATAAAATTAAAAAAAAGAAATAAAGAGGATAAGGCCTCTAGGACAGGGGTCCCCCAACTACGGCCCATGGGCCAGCCCCGGCCCATTGAGGCCTTCCTATGGGCCCGTGTCCGGTCCTGTTGCCGCCGCCGCTCATGCCCACCACTGGATGCCATTTTATCTTCCAAAATGGCATCCACAGTCGTGAGCATGCACCCAGCATCACACGTGCATGTACATGACTCCGGGTACCATTTTGGAACACAAAATAGTGACTGGCGTCGCATGTGCATGCGCACTACTCAGGCCCCATTTTGTGTTCCAAATGGTGCCTGGAGTTGTGCACATGTGTGCACAATGCTGCGCGCATGTGCACGACTCCGGAAGCCATTTTGGAACACAAAATGGCACCCGGAGTCGTGCACATGCACAGGTGTGCATGTGTGTGCACCTCCGCCCCCCGGAAGATCTGGGGACCAGCGAACCGGCCCCCAGATCAAAAAGTCCGGGGACCCCTGCTAGGATGTTGAACATCTCGCTTTGATTTCAATAGTGGAACAAGTGCAAGAGTTGTTTGCAATCAGTTTTGTGTTTGTTTTGTTTCAAAGCAGGAGGCAAAGAACCACTCTATTCTGCTTTTAAATTGGGCAGCTAGAGAGATGGATTGCCCTGCATTAATTTTTTTTTTAAATGAAGAATCCCACACGGTATGTCAAATGCACATTTAAAGAAATATACTCTAGAGACTGACAAGGCCTTTTTGTGTAATCATGGGATAGCTGACATGCCAGCATTTACATGCAGTTTAACTCCAATTTTAACTGCCAGTACCATAAAATTATTTGATTGAATTTCATTCTTGAATTTCAATGGGAAGTGGAATCCCTCAGGAAGACTACAGTGGCTTATGAAATATTCCTCACAGAACTAGTAGAATCAGATGTCACACTGTACCTGGAATCTTAATTTCTTGACAACACAGAACTCGGTATATGTGTTGGTTTATTTATGTTTTCTTTGCAAGAGCATCTATGTGGATACATACACAAACCCCCAGAAACAAGTACAGTTACTTTCCCCTCTTCCTTTTGACAAGTGTGTGTGTTTGTACATGCACAGTTGCATAAACTTTCCACTTCCAAGGGAAATGCATGGCTTAGAGAACCCCCTGTTTACAAATAGCTTGGATTTCCTGTCTATTTCATGTTATCAATGCCTCCCCAAATGCCATTTTTCCTAACCTGCTCTCTCCAGCTGTTTTGTAATGCTGGCATAAGCTGTGTAAAAACAGGAAAATTGTTGTGTTTTAGTACAGAATGTCAAATAAAGAATGTTAAATATTCCCACTCTGTCTACCCCTTTTCTCTGTATACCCCTGCTAATGGGTAGTCCACTTATATGAGGATGATTGAGTTGGTGACACCTCATGAAATTTTATTTTGGGAAGGGAAAAGCACCTTTACTTGTGTGGGTTAGGTTAGGTTGTCCCCCTTTCCAGCTCTTTCCACCAGCAGGCACAGAAGTGGACAAAGTATTCCAGAGGAAGTCTGATCAAAAGAGAATAGAGGGGCACTAATAATTCCCTTGATCAGGGCAGTATACTCCTGTAGATTCACCCTAAAATGGCATTGGCTTTTTTGATTGTTGCATCACACTGTTGATTCATGTTTAGCATAAGATCCCTAGGTCTTTTTTCACACATACTGTTTTCAGACCAAGTATCACATATCCTATATCTGTGAATTTCTTTTTTTCCTCCCTAGATGTATTACCTTATATCTATCACTTTTGAAATTCAGTGTGCTAGTTCTGGCTCAGATGCCCAATCTCTCCAAGTTATTTTGAATTCTGTTCCTGTCCTCTACAGTATTTTCTATCCACTGCCAATTTGGTGAAATCCACAAATTTGAAAAGCATGACTTCTGTTCCATCATCTAAGCTAGGCCTACACAACATGCAGCCCAGGGGCTGCATGCAGCCTGCCAAAGGATTTTGGGTGGCCTGCAGGGATATGGAATGACTCCAAGTCTCTTTTGCCACTTGGCCCCCTCCTGAAGAGAGGGCCATACAGAGGAGGAGGCAGAAGGGTGAATGCTCACATTGCAAGGCTTCTCCACCACTTGGCTTTCTCCTGAGGAGAAGGCCAGGCAATGGAGGAAGAAGATGGCAGGTGAACACTCATCCTGCAAGGCTCCTCCACTGCTTGGCTTTCTCCTAAGGAGAAGGCTGGGTTGAGGAGAGGTGGAGGATGGGCAAATGGTTACCCCTCAAGACTCTTTCACTGCCTGGCTTTCTCCTGAGGAGAAGGCCAGGTGGTGGAGGGAGAGGACAGGCAAATGCTTGCTCTGCAAGGCTCCTCCACTGCCCTACTTTATCCTGAGGCCAGGTGGTGGCAGCGGCAGCGGCAGCAGCAGAGGACAGTTGAACACCTGCACTTCAAGGCTCCTCCATTCCTTGGCTTTCTCCTAAGGAGAAGGATGGGTGAAGGGGGATGGGCAATGCAAGGACTTTCTCCTGAGAAGGCTGGGTGGCAGAGGAGGAAGAAGGGCAAACGCTCACCCCTCAAGTCTTCTCCATCACTCAAGCTCTCCCGAGGAGAAGTCCGGATGAAGAAGAAGGACAGGAAAGGTTCCCCTGCTGCTCAGCTTTTTCCTGAGGAAAGGGTCAGGCAGAGGAGGAGGAGGAGATTAATATTAATTCTAATTAATATCAATTAGTATTATTGATTAATTAATATTATTAATTAATTAATGTTTAATTAAAACCTATCTGCAGCCCAAAGAAGTTTAGCTTATTTTAATTTTTGCTCCTACTTACTGCCAAGTTGTGCAGGCCTGATCTAAACCATTTAGATTTTAAACAATGCTGGATACAAATGTTCACAGCCTGCATCCTATTGTTAGTTGCAACTAGAGTACTGAATCAATATACTCCACATGTATCTACATGTTGATTCATCATTCAGTAATAGAATCCATGTGTTCATTTTAGTTGAGATTAACCTGATAAATTCATATTCATATTTTTTAGGATAAAATACATTTTGAATTGTGTGATTTGAGAGACAATTATGTACATAATGTTGGGGCATGTGAGGTCTGGGATCAAAATGCAGAAGACTTATGCCAGGAACCAGACACCACAGCAGGGGCTCTACTGTGAAGTTTGGTGCAGGCTGTAGAGAAAAAAAATCCTCCCATTCAGAGACTGTTGACAAGACAAGAACTGCTGGACTTCTGAGTTCTCACAAAGAGGCTTTTATTCTTGAGGACAGCTATATACATCAGACTGACAAAGTCAGGGGTAGGCAACCTTTCCCCTTTAAGGGCCAAGGGACTTCAGCTCCCAGGATCCCAGGAGCTATTGGCCAACATGGGACTATTGGCCAACATGGCTGAGGCTTCTGGGAGCTGAAGTCCCTCGGCCCTTAAAGGGGAAATGTTGCCTACCCCTGGACAAAGTGCTACATCAGGCTCCTATTTACAATGCAACTGCACTGAGCATTCAGCTCACTCACTTATATACAATATCTCCCTCTGGGATTTGAGTCCAGTCC